ATCATTGTATGAACGCTTAAAGTAAATTAATAAAGTATTTGATACTAACCTTTTATAACAATATTTTAACATTAAATACTACCTTAAGAGTGTTGGGGAAATTAATCATCAAAATTATTATAGTACGTATCCTGATATCCAGACCACAGAATCTTCTTGTTCTATAATCTTCCGAATGACGTAGCAAAATTGTACATCGAATTCTGACTATAATCCTTGATGTCCAACGACAATTATTTATAAATCCCTTATTTATTATAATCACGAATCGCTGAATTCCACACATCCAAGCTCGAATAAGGACCATGTACGGGATTTCGGCAGTATTTAGAGGAGTAAAATAAAAAACGTGTTCTTGATGCACTTACAAAAGATTTAAATAATTTATTACAAAAAAATACCCAAGAGGTGGGGTAGACACACCACGAATTTTTCTTTCGATACGCAATTTTGCCTCAATAATTATTCAGGCGCTTTGCACGAACAATTAGTATAGATAAGTTTTTTGAAAAGTTATTAATTATTGGTTTTGATGACACGTTTGGCTCAGTTGGTAGTGACCCTACTTGCTGTACCAGCTGTCGCGGGTTCGCGTCCCGCTGCGGACATTCATTTGTGTGATGAGCACGAATGTTTGTACTCCAGTCATGGGTGTTTATATTAATAATATGTATGTATTTAAAGTTATATATGTGTAGTGTATATATATATGTATATATATATATATATATATATATATATATAATACTAGCAGTACCCGCATCTTCACCCGCGTCCAAACTTCCGATCGCTAACAAAATTCACAGGATCACCTGCTGGGCTAATCTAAACATTACCTGAAAATTTTATCAAAATTGCTCCAGCTGTTTTGGAGTCCATAGGAAACAGACATACACACATTGATTTTTATTTTATTTAATAAATATTTAAAATTTATTTATTGCTCGGAAAATGGGGTCTTTTATGAAAATTTAGTGACACACTGACTGCAGCGCCACCTACTGGCTCCATTTGTGAATTCAAACCTTGCAGGGACCCACTAGAACATACACAAAAAATATCATAAATATCGTCTATACCGTTTGGGAGATGATCAGGGACACACTGATTGCAGCGCCATCTACTAGGCCCATTTGTGTTTTCAAACCATCCAGGAGCCCATTGAAATATACACACAAAATTTCATCCAAGTCGGACCAGTCCTTTAGGAGGAGTAGGTTAACAAACACGCGTACAGAAGAATTATATATATTAAGATATAATATGGCGGTAAGACAAGTATTAATTATATTGGAAAAATGATAATACCAGAGCTAACGCGGCTTAACACGGCGGCGGAGGTTCTCAATTCGTCGGAATTTTTTCTTTTTTATTTATGTTCACCGATTACTCTAAGACGCCTGAACCAATTTGGAAAATTCTTATTTTGTTTCAAAGGATATACTTTCCAGGTGGTCTCATTACAATTTTAACGAAATCACTCGAGCGGCTTTTAAAAAATGAACAATAAATTATTTTTAAATAAATGGCTTAATCGAATATATTATAAAAAACTTTCTATTTACAAATTACCTGCTTATTACGTCTACACTAAAAAGTAAAAAAGTAACTTAACGGGGGTTTTCATTTAGCATAGACTAGTTTTCATTTAGAATAGACCTAATCAGTAATTTTCGAATTCGGTGCCAGCCGAAACAAATTAAAGTACACACAAGCAGACTTCGAAAATATCTGATTAGGTATCTATTCTAAATGAAAACCCCCGTATAGTTATTTTTTACTTTTTAGTTGCTACAAGTCGGTTTTTATTTTATTCTTAAAAAGTTTATACTAGTGTAAGACAAAGTTGGCCATGTTGGTAGGCTGTAGTTAGAAACTATCATAAATATATTATATGACCTTAAAACTTTTATTTTGGTGCCATTTAGGCTCTTCACAAGCATTTCATTTAACATTTTCATTAACAATCTTAACATTCCTTAAGGACTCTGTAATAACTTTTCGAACAAAATCTTTGATAAGTTTCACAAAATTCTACATTAAATCTATAACGCTTTAGTAAAAGGCTTGTTTAATGTTTATTAAATTTAAACCTCCAGTTAAGCTTTATAACATTCTCGTGGACGAAGCATATTAATTTATCTTATAATTTCAGGAAATGATAGAAACAACATTTCATATATGAAACAAAGATAAACGCTGTTTCGTCAATATTTTATCAGAAAAATAATAAAATGAGGAAAGAAGCAAAAATCGTTCCTGTACATAAAGGTGAAAACGAAACATTAATCGGTAACTCGGTCGGTTGGGCGGTCCCAATATCCATTTTATTGTAATTTGCAAACATTTTCAAAGACCTTGTTTGTCCGTTTATTAACTACCATTTTAAAAACATAATAGCGACTAATCAGCATATCTTGCATGTCAAAGGAAGGTCAACTGTAACAAATCTTGTTAACTTTACCAATTCTATTATACATTCAGTTGACAGACGTTATCAAGTAGACGCTATATATACGGATCTAAGCAAAGCTTTCGATAGGGTGCTCCATGTTCAACTCTTGCAAAAACTAAAAGTCATCTGAAGTATCGGGCACAATGCTTCAGTGGTTCGCATCGTACTTACAAAAACGGTATTTTTTGTAAGCTTAAATGGATTTCAGTCACAAAAATACTCTATTAACCCAGGAGTTCTACAAGGCTCCATTTTAGGTCCCATTCTTTTTACCGTATTTATTAATGATGTAACAATTTGCTTTAAAATTCAACGCCATGTGTTTTTGCCGATTACATTACATTTATACGTACAGTGAACACCTTAGAGGATTTGTTGTTGCTACAGAATGACATAACACACTTCACTGAATGGTGTCAAAAAAATGGTATGAGTTTAAATGCGAACAAATGCAAACACATTAAATTCACTCGAAACCTTAACATATTTCCTTCTACGTATTACATCAACAAAGTTACCTTACAAGAAGTAGATAGAATTAAAGATTTTGGTATCATTCTAGATGTAAAACTTACTCCATATGTACTCCATATAGATAAGGCGATTAAAAGGGCTTCTAAAATGTTAGGTTTTATTATCCGTGTTTGTAGGAGGATTTTGAAGCCGAGTACTAAAGTTCTACTATATAATAGTTTTGTGAGAACCATCTTGGAGTATGGCAGTGTGGTTTGGCGACCACATTACTCAACGCACTCTTTAAGAATTGAACGACTGTCGAAGCGATTTACACGACACTTAGCTTTTTAACGGGGGTAGCAAACAAGTTGGACTCATATGACAGCAGACTACAACATTTTAAAACGGTGTCACTTACTGTGCGAAGAGATCTGCTCGATATGATGGTCCTTTTCAAAATATGTCGTAATGAAATAGATTGTCCTCATCTCCTGCAGTTGTTCAATTTTTATGTTGCCTATATACTATTTCTGAAGCATGTTGTGTTTACCTTAATATAGATTTACAATTTACCAATGTTATTTATGATATTAATTATAGTGCTAGTATTAAATAATTGTAAAACTGCTGGTAGACTTTAAATAATTAAAATAAAAATAAATAAAAAATCAATTTGTCTTCAAACGGACTTAAGTCAATTTCCTTACTCGTCTGCGTGCAGAACCGGAGGCGTGTCCTAGCTATTCGAGTTTCAGACAAGAACTGAAAAAATTTAAAACATTCGAAAAACTGGCGATGATATTCTATCATTCTTTAAACGGCCACGTTATGTCTTTGTTCCTCCTGTGAAACCTCACCGACGATGTCGAATTATATGGAATAGAGTGTACTACGTAGGGCACCATTTATAATATCCTGTTTATTACGTATAGATTAAAAAATATGAATATATGTATAATACAATACAACAACTTCACAGCTTGGGATGGAAGTATCCATTTCGCTGATTAAAAACATGAAAAATATTCGTGTAGTAATAGGTTTTCTTACAATTGAATAAATGAATGAATATGCTGGGACATTAATACAGCACCATCTAGTTCCATGGTAAGCTACGGCTACGGCTAGTTTTATGGATCCCAGGTAGTTGATACACTACACATATATAACTTTAAATAGATACATATTATAAATATATATACCATTTAAATTGAAGCAATGATATTGAAAATGCCCATTATTTTTTTTATATTTTATTAACACCTTTCATAGAAATCAATTATATTTTAAACAAAATAGATATAATTCACTGAATACGAAAATTAACAAAAGAATACAGTATACTGTTGTTTTATAGTAATAACCTTTTAAAATAATATAAAACTTGTCATACAAAAGTATATAAGCATGTAATATCAAGAGCCATTTAGTAAATTTTAGTTCCCACAGACAGATACACAAACTACAATATCAACATAATAAACCAAACCTAACGTTGTATATCGGTAAGGGTTTATTAATAATGCAATTGAATCTTGACTCGAGTGAGGAGTAACATTGTTATTCAACATTGTGGCAATTTTGAATTTGAATTTTAAATATATTATAACAAATTATTTACATATTTTTTTTAATTATCTCACTGAGTTACAATGTTAATGGTACTATAAATATTACCCGTTAAAACGTAGCTAGGGGCGAACCCGAGCGGTGCGAGGGTGAGTCGCTAGTTATGACATAAAGTTCTTTTATAGTCAATCTATTTTAGGAAGCACATGTTTATGTCTGTCATGTTGACTTAAGTAAACAAATAATCAATTTTTAAAATATCGATACAACCAAGCAAAATATTACAATACACTTCCTAGAAGATGCAGTATTAGTATTAAAATTTATTTACATCAACTTTAAATGCAAATATTATAAGTCGCCCTAAAAAGTCGAAATATACAAAAATATACTATTACCGTAAAATGCCGATTGCCGAATAACCAATAAATAGTTCTATTTTCTTCGCTATTTTAATTAATATTTTTGTAACTAACCAAAGAGTATAATTATATCAACAAACGCTTTGTAAGTTTTATTAATCCACAGTTAATTTTCTAAACGAGCCCGGCATGCCCAAACATTGATCGTTGAAGTTTTCTTTGCTTCTATATGATTCATCTGTGCAGGCCTCTTTCATTTCATTAAAGTAATCATTAAATTCTTTAGAACTTAACTCTTTTTTAAGCTTATCTGAAAAAAAAGTTATGTTATTACATTTGCGGCTATTGCGTCTTATAAGTGTAATACAATTTTTGTCTGTTTGTTTAACTATTATGTATTGATTTAATTGATAAATTAAATATACAAAGACATTTTCGAAAAAATAAAAATATCTAATTTTTTCTTATTCTTCTGGAGACCACATTTTTTTTATAAAAAAAGTGGCACTGACTTTTTAATCAATTTAAAAGTAATAAGTTCACCCTTAGATTTAGATAAAATGTTATACTGGGTTAAAACGAGAAATATTAAGTTGTGTTATGTTTTTTGTTCTGTTATTTATATGTGTGCCATTTGGGCATAGTTAACTTCGCAAATGTCGTGTAAAATGAAGGAAACACGGTAGAGATTGAGAACTAATCGGTTTAAAAAACAGGTTTTCACACTTTGGACTGATAACATTTCAAATTATATGAGGAATTTATTGTACAATCTGGACCTACAACAAACAAGACATCACAATGAAGTATATGTATACAAAATAGATAGAGACACAAAAACAGATATTAGTCAATCAATACCTTGGCTTTTTTTCCTATTTGGGGTCAGCCCTCCTAATAAGCCCTACTAATAATAACTTTAAATCAGTCATGGCGATTTTGCGTTATTTCTGGCGTTAAACCTTTCGTCAACATATCATTGTGGATTATCTTATCCAGGTAGACGGTGGGCGTCCTCTGCCTCTTCTGCATTCGTTTATGGCTAAGACCTGTCTGATCGTATGGTCTTCACTGCGACGCATTACGTGACCAAACCAACGCAGGTGGTTTCCTCTCATTTTTTGCTGTATTTCAACTATTTTAAAAGATCTACGGATGTACTTATTTTGGATTTTATCAACACTCAGATGCATATAACATTGCCGGTCTAACTGCTCGTTTATACACGATGTCTTTAGTTGAAACAGATATTTTTGCGTCACAGAGGACCCCAGAGAGTGACCTCCACTTAAGCCTACCTGTTCTGATTCTATTAGAGATATCATCCTCTGTGTTTGCTTTAGTGTTAACTATAGATCCGAGGTACTTCAATTCTTCTACTTAGTTTAAGGAAGTGCCTTCGATAGTGAGAGCTGCTTGGGTGTTGTGTTTTTACGGTTAACTCAATATCCGCTGCTTTCAAAAGTCTTCAGCCATCTTACTAGTATTTTTGGATTTCCTATTGGAATGCGATTAATCTATTAAGACCACATCATATGCAAACAAAAGTGTCCATGGAGCCGTTTTTTAGATATGTAATCCATGATAATGTTGAAAATCAGGGGACTTAGAGCGGCTCCTTGGTGCACACCGGCCTTGACCTTCAAACTGTTACTAGTACCCGCTAGTGGCATCACTTGCGCTGTTACGCTATTATACATGTATTTTAACGATACGATGTTGCTCTGGTATCAGTTTGGCTCGAAGAGCTTGCTACATGAGCTTGCGTGGTATTCGATCGAAGGCCTTTTCTAGGTTTCTTTCAATAAAGACAAGGTGGAGATCTTTTTTTAGGGCTTTATATTTATCCATTAGTATTCTCACACGTGTATGGTGTCTGTGGTGCCTACTCCGGGAGTAAAACCGCACTGGTTTGACGTTATGACGTAGAGTTTATGTAGCCTACTGATAACGACCGTTTCCCATGTCTTCAGGGTATGTTAATTTAATAAGGCTCTATAGTTTTCACATTCAGCTATGTTCCCCTTATTCTTGTAGAATGGTATTAAATTAGTAAGTCTCCACATATCAAATTTAATAATTTAATAAAAAGATTTGTTAGCCATATAACTCCGGCTTTGTTCGCTTGTTTCCAAAGCTCTGCTGGAATTTGTCGTCGGACTGTCGACAGCTGGCGTCTTTTCCGGATTTTGGTTTTATGACAAAAACAACAAAATAAAAAAAAACAGATGTTAGTATAAATTAATAATTATTAATTTACAATTTGATATTGTTTTATTATTATAAATTGACATAAAAATCTACATAAAGGACATAAAGGACTGTCCACCAATATCAAAAACAATTGACGATAATGAAGCGAGGGACTTAAGAAGGGAGAACATTATACAGAGTATGAAGAAGTTTAGGGCAGCTGAAAGAATGTAAAATAAATTACCTTCGTCTAGGCTACACTCATACAGGGGCTGCTCTCTGACTCTGATCTTCGCCAGGGAACAAGCGTTGGACAAAATATAGCAAAATATACTCAAAAAATATGCCCAAATTTTTTTAAGATCCGTCGAAAATAAGAAGGTGACATTGAAGCAGAAAACTAGAAAAGAGAATTGAACACAACACACAAGACAAGAGAATTGAATTGAATTTCTTCATCTTAATTTTTTTGTTAAAAAGTTAATGTTTATGTTGGTTTTAAATAAAATTATTTGTAATAACTTCTGTCCACAACCTACATTCTAAGCGTTAAGCCTAAACTGTGCATAAATACATACTAGACATATTTTATTGCTTATAATAAACACGACAAGGTCTAGATTACAACTATGTTTTTTATTACTAACTAGCGACTCACCCTCGCTTCGCTCGGGTTTGTCCCTAGGTATTATGATGGATATAGTATGTTGTCCTTATGAGATAGACATATACCACCGCGGACTTTTTTGTAAACCTTTTTAAGGTGTCTTCTCAGTAAGCTTCCGGCATATGGGATACCCACTGGCTTTTGTAGCTGGATATCTGATTTCCTGAGCGAGAGGTCATTTAGGGTGGTCGTTGACGGCTGCTCATCTGACCTAATGGCTGTCAATGCCGGTGTTCCTCAGGGATCTGTTCTGTCCGCAACACTCTTCCTGCTGCACATCAACGATCTTCTAAAACCCGGTATCTTTGGGTACGCTGATGACAGCACTGTTACGGATAGATACTTGTCCAGTTCTAAAGCCAGTGCTTCTGAGATCCTTGAGCAAAGAGAGGCCTTGGTGAATCGCATTGACTTAACTCTGAAGGAGGTGTCCGAATGGGGTGACGCCAATTTAGTTAAGTTTAATGCCACCAAAACACAAGCGTGTTTATTTACCGCTAAAAGGAGCCCCTTTACCTTGGCTCCCACTTTCCAAAATGTATCCATCCCGATAAGCGACCACATTGAGCTCTTGGGCATAAACATCTCACCCAATCTCAATTTCGGGAATTGCATCGAGTCAAAGGCGAAAACAGCAGCCAAAAAACTTGGTATCCTGAACAAGGTGAAGCGGTATTTCACACCCGAGCAGCGCCTGACTCTCTATCAGGCTCAAGTGCGCTCAGCTATGGAGTACTGCTGCCACCTCTAGGATGGCTCTGCCAAGTATCAACTCGATGCATTAGACTCGATAGATCGCCGAGCTCGCCGTATTATAGGTGATCAATCACTAACGCAAACGAAACTGCTTAGTCTACAGCATCGACGCAATGTCGCCTGTCTATCGATCTTCTATCGGATATACTTTGGGGAGTGCGCGCAGGAACTTCACAACCTTGTGCCCCCTTCACCGTTTTACCACAGAACTGCGAGAAGTCGTGAGCGCTGGCATCCTTATGTGGTAGAAATCCAACCAACTCGCACGAAACGCTTTAGTTCTACGTTTCTGAAACGAACCGCTAAGGAGTGGAACACCCTTCCAGCATACGTGTTTCCTGCCACTTATAATCTAAGTACTTTCAAGGCAAGAGTGAATACTCATTTTCTAGGCAAGCGCGCTCCAACCTAGACCTCATCAGTGCTTCCCAACGCTGATTGTAGTCAAGCGCAAACCTATCGTACAATAAAAAAAAAAAAAAACAATATTGTACTACATTATTGTGATCTATCTCGTAAGGTTCAGCCAGCGTTTGAAATGCAAGCGCAAAAAATGTGTTTATTTACGACATCACATTACAAACCTCTAATATTATCAGTGTTTCTCTACTATATTATGCATGTATTATACATATAAAACTTCCTCTTGAATCGCTCTATCTATTAAAAAACCGCTTCAATATCCGCTGCGCAGTTTTAAAGATCTAAGCATAGATAGGGACAGCGAACAGCGGGAAGCGACTTTGTTTTATACTATGTAGTGATATTATACGAGTATAGTTGGGTAATAAATAATCTTAAGATGTGCAAAGTCGATATTAAACTAATAAAAAATACAAAACACTTTTTCTGGCTAAAATGTTTACAACACATAAGTATCCAACTAATATTATAAAAGCGAAAGTTTATAAGAATGTATGTATGGATGTATGTTTGTTACTCTTTCACGCAAAAACTACTGAATGGATTTTGATAAGACCTTAAAATAATATAGCTCATACATCAGAATAACACATAGACTACTTTTTATCCTGGAAAAATGTACGGTTCCCGTGGGATAGATTTGTTTTTGTTTTTCTAGAGTCGAACCTGAGCGAATCGAGGGTAGGCCGCTAATAATTCTATAAAACGTGTTTATTGCAACCATATGGGTAGGTACTTAATATTTTGTTTTTATACTTAAAAAGGAAGTTGGAGTTAAACACTAAAAAAGAAAGTTGTTTTTTTGTACAAGAAGAGTTTTACTAGTCTCATATACTAGTTACAATGTCTATACACACGCATATGTATATACTTACTACTCAGTTCCGTTATAGACTTCTCTTTGCCACCGTAATCAACTGGCAAATCAATTTTCGGAATTATATTGTTTAATTGTTCCATATCTTTGCAGACTGCTATTCGTTGGGATACCTTTGAACTTACAGCTTGTTTTACAATTGAAACAATTGCGTCAATTGCTTTTGAAGGTGTTATAAAATACAAGCCTTTTAATCTCATCCCATATCCCCCCTGGAAATAATCATTACCTCTAGTTATTATATTAATAAATAAATATATTTAACAAAAAATATTTTAAGCAAAACTATCTTTTCGAATTTTTTCGCGGAATTATTTGGATTTTTGGTTCCGGACGTTTCGAATGATTTACAGCATTTATGGTCACGGGAGAGACTGAGGTGTTACATGTCTCGAAGGTATAGTTGTTACAGACAGCCTACCCACAATAAAAAAAAATATTTTACTTAGTGATGATATGAGCGATATTCCTGTTTTTCGAATCGGTACTATAAAAAAGTCCAAACACAGATACTCCAAACCAAGATCAATATGTATATCTACAGAAGCGTCAAAATATACGGTTGATAAAAATCAAACACGAAAATGTTAAAAATTGAAAAAAAATAATAATTATAAAAAACGCAAAGTATGTCAATTCTGGTATAGAATTTTTATAATATTATTTTAGATCTTTAAATATTATAATCTTTGATAAATTGCAACATACGACGCAATAACTTACAACTGTACTACACTCGACTACTTTAAGGATAGTAGCCACTAAGCACAGTTGTTTGCCCAATGCCCAGTACGATTAATCAAAAATAAATTGCATGAATTTTTCAAACATTAGCAACTGCACAACAATAAACATTACATATCAAAAATGCAAGTCTCGCAACGCAGTTATTCTACCGCAAAAAGTTGTCTAAAAATTCTATCCCACAACTTTGTCATAAATTGTTACCTAATTAGTTATTTCAATAACAACATTTTATAGAGACCGTATCAATATTAGATATCTTTATTTGTTTAATAAATAGAATGACTTGGCCATCGGACGGAAACATAATCAGATAAGAATAATCTACTATTTTAAATAGTTCTAATTGAACATACCGCTAGAGCTCAAATTTGTGCAAACACGAACTTAAATAATGAGCTAATCCGTAAATTCTGAACTCCACAAATGCTTAAGTGAAATAGACAAGAAATATTCTCCGCTTAATTTACACGATAGAAATGTGCAATTTAATCAAAATAAAATTAGTAAGCAGCAGAAATTAGAAGCATGATCTCAAAAATCACTTCATGGAAGACATCTAGCTGATCAGAGTCAAATATACATCGACAAAGATGCGTCGATGGCTGTGGCGTGGAGAGCTCTTCCTGGAAACAGGCCTTTATGACCATTCAAGATCAGGTAATACACATCCGTAACTACCAAAAACATATTATTAAAAATCCCAACATGTTGACTGATCTATGTAGACGATGCCACTGTAGTTCTGAAACTATTCAGCACATTACTGGAGCCTGCAAGTCCATAGTCCAAGCTGACTACAAGCATCGGTACGATTAAGTCGCCCTTAAATATACACTCATCATACAGGCACAAAAACACCCTACTATAAGTACACACCTCAAACCATTTTAGAATCTCCTAATTACAAACTTTACTAGGACCGTATAATCATTACCGATAGAACTATACATTACAACAAACCGGATATATTGCTTCTCGACAAACACTATCTTGCACCAACATATTCTAGTAAAATAGCTAAATAAATAAAAAAAAAAGAATATTTTATTCATTACCAAAATGTTTACAAATCTATACTATAATAAAACAGTAGAGGTCGAATGTCTGTACATAGCAAAAAAATGCTAAAAACCAAGTCAAGGGGATGTAAGAAGACAAATAGGTCAAATCCAGGTTTTTTTCGATTTTTTTGTTTCTCTGTCTGTTTGTCTGTTTGTACGGGCTAATCTCTGAATCTATTAGACCGATTTAAATGAAATTTTGCGTGGTGGTATCCTATATCCCCGGGCAACATCTTAAATACTTTTTATCCCGGAAAATTAAGTAGTTCCCGTGGGATAGTTTAAAAACTATAATAACTTATTCAGCTTAACCCAGCAGTGGGACGTTAAAAAGGGCTGAATACATACATACATACATGTTCCAGTGGGTCGAATACTCGACACCACCAGTGAGAGTTAAGGCGCGGGACCGACTTAACGTGCTCTCCAAGGCACGAGGGTGAAAGACCGCCAACTACACTAAACAAAGAGAAGACTCCATAACTAAACTTGGTCCGACCCAGAACTCGAACACAAGACCCCTCGAACCCCTCCGGATGTGCAACCATATATACTAGCCACTACACCACCGAGGCAGTCTACTAGTCTAGAAAATAAACTTATACAGGTAACAAATAAAACGTAATTCGGTAAAAGGCTATTTGAGATTTACAAAAAAGCCACCTTTTCCATATCAAACTGTCCCTCTCGACATTTATCGAAGTATTACAAACACTTAAACATATAAAGCAAACAACGAATACACATTCTTAATCGGAGGAAAACAAAGCAAAACACCACAAACTTATTGAAACAATTGCAACTACATATATCTTCATTTGGGTGTCCAAAAGTTTGCACCTAACGTTTTGACCCAAAAGTTCAAGAGTTAACACAAATTCATTTTTTCGTTTGACGACTGATAAATGAACTCCTCTGATTAATTAATTTGAATCGACACTAACGCCACATGTTGCATGCGATAACATGTTATAGTTGCATTCGGAGATTTAAAAATATTAGGGATGCATTCTTATTCTAATTTTTTTCCAAATAGCCTCAAGTTGCCCCATTCTACCGGTACCTCGTTATACAACAAAACATAAAAAAAATGATATTTAAATATTAAACATTTGAATTAGCATCAAAAATATTAGTCATCAAGAATGTTTACTGTTGTCTTTTAAGAAGCGGCATTTTTAAATAGTTATTAGTACTGTGATAATATTTAAAATGGCAGATATGAGACAAGTACAATTTTATCTATTACATTATAATAGTAGTAGTAAAAAATATAGTACTTACAATTATAATGGAAGAAAACTTTAGTAACTCGAACATATTAACGGCTTTTAGCATATCCATGATGTTGGTGTCAGTGAAGTCAAAAACTCCTATTATACCGGTGGAGTAATCATTAGCTTGAAGGTATTCACATATCTGTAGTCAACAAAAGTTAAGATAATTACATTACCCATTTATATTAACAAAATATATCATAATTTTTTCTAAGTTCGGTCGACAACCAAATTGTAGGTTAAAACCTTAATATTGCTTTTCTTAGACCCTTATAATAAGTAATGGTTTTCAATGTAAATGTTAAACGTCACGATTATCCAGTCTCAGCTATATTATAATTAAAAATATATGCTGCCTTAAATTAAAAAAAAACTCCAGATAAACACAAATATTTGTTGCCAAAATAAATAAAATATTTATTCTCTGCAAGTAACTCACCCTAATACAGTATCTATAAATATCTAGAAAACCAGCTTCGAAACGTTGCCCCTTGATATTATATATTACTACTCTGTAATAGTCTTTCGTCATTTTTGGTAAAAAATAACAACTTCTGTAAAAAGACAGAAAAACAAAGTCAGATATACGGTCAAATCAGGTAATTCGAGTTTTTAAGGTAGAAAATAACATTTAAACTTAAACTGTATTTACTTGCTTGATTTTATTTACCGCTAACCGTCAGAATCAACCAGTGATTTAATTTTGTATACTTACATGTTACCTAGACTTCTTTCATTTCTAGACTTTTTTCTTTTCGGCCTATAAAATGGTGTCATGGAGTAGAATTTATGAAATATATACCAAATATCATTTGATCGCTTAGGCGAGCGCAAATCGTTAGTCTATACATATAATAAAATTTAAATAAGCCGAAACTGTACATTAAATATTTTTTTGAAAATCTTATTGAAATAGAGATTATTATTGATACAGAATGATACAGAATGCCGAATCTATAGTTTTTAGAGTTTTTGTCTATCTGTCTGTCTGTTATCGCATCACAGAAAAACCACTGGAGGGATTTTGAAGAAAGTTGGTATGATGGTAGCTGGTTATCCGGGTCAACATATAGAATACTTTTAACTGCAGGAAAATGTCTCATTTCTGAGAAAAAATACAAATACTGCAATGTAAGAGTATAATAATATGTAAAACCTATGAATTTGGTTTTTGGTCATCTGAACGCGGGCTGAGCCACGGGCAATGCTAGTACGTTATAAAATCAGAGACCGTGACATAATATGTATAACGTGGGAGGACGCAGATTGAATTTATGTAGGAAGAAAATGTTCACACTGACAAAATAGAAATTTATATTTGTCAGGTCAAGAAATGGCGTTGCATATCACCTACAAGAAAATTATGTTTGTGTACACAAATGCATGCGATGAATGTGTGTAGTTCATCAAGAGCACACTCGTTTTGGAAAAAAAATTGAACAGGTAGAAACTCTAGGTCTCACACTTAGCATCTTCATGTGCGAAGATAATTTTTGATTTGATAAATTCAGTCGATGAAGATTTTTAATATGGACAAAGAAAAACACATATTTACCTATTAGATAATCATATCTTAAATTGTCGGCTGGCACCGATTTCGAAAATATCTGATTAGGTATCTATTCTAAATGAAAACCCCTGTTTAGTCATTTTTTACATTTTAGTGCCTGGAAGTCGGTTTTTACTTTTTTTTAAATTTTTATTTATCCATTTTTAGTGTAGACGTAATAAGCAGGTAATTTGTTAGGAGAAAGTTATTTTGATAAAATGTTCGATTAAGAAATTTGTTGAAAAAAAATTATTTGTTGATTTAAAAAAAACGCTTGACCGATTTCGATAAAATTTATATGGGACCACCTCGGAAGTATATAGCCTTTGAAACAAAAAAATCTAAATCAGTTCAAGCGTCTTCGAGTAATCGTTGAACATACATAAAAAAACGATTCCGACGAATTGAGAACCTCCTCCTTTTTGAAAGTCGGTTAAAAACATTACGAAACTTGCATTCTTGAGAGAATCTAATAAATTTTCGAATGACATGAGAGCTCTCCAACTCACACCTTGACACCTAATCCCTTCTAGCAATGAAGACAAGTCAAGAAGTGAGCGATGCTAGAATATGGATATATGTTGCAATGAACATGAAAACAAAAAGAGTATGATAATAAATTATAATTCTGAAATAAATTTCTCTTAAACTTACATGTCATTTAATAATGGAGAATTCTGGATGTCAAAATTCTCATAAAATTCAGGTACTAAGCTCCTAAGCGTGCAAGTTTTATCTAACTTCACTTTTGATTTTTCTATGGAACCTTTAGATATTATGAGTGTCCTCTCCAAATATTCCCTAGCTGTAGGGAATAAATAGAATTTTAATGAATATTATTATTTATTCAAAGTATTATAGTTATATTAATATTTATATATTATTCGCTCGATTATTGTCAGTTTGTGATATAAAACTGCGACTTTTTTTTTGTTTCTATAAAAAAACAACCCTAACTTATAAGGTTATATACAGTTTTAAGAATATTGATAGCTAAAATATTAAGCTCCAAATAAGATCGAGTGAACTTAAATTAAAATTTTTATTGCCCGGTAGGTTAGAATTATATTGTTTTATTATGACGCAGTAATCTATCTATAATATAATAAAAGAGTAGAGATCGAATGTCTGTACATAGCAAAATAATGCTAAAAACCGAGTCAGGGGGATGTAAGAAGACAAATAGAACAAATCCAGATTTTTTTTTAATTTTTTGTTTCTCTGTCTGTTTGTCTGTTTGTATGGGCTAATCTCCGAATTTATTACACCGATTTAAATGAAATTTTGCATGGTGGTACCTTATATCCCCGGGCAACATCTTAGATACTTTTTATCCCGGAAAATTAAATAGTTCCCGTGGGATAGTTAAAAAACTATAACTTACTTTAACTTATTAAACTTAACTAGAACTTACTTTAGCTTACTTTAACTTTAACCATTTGTCCAAATTACATACAGTAAAAAGGAAAAGTCTTTTATTTTAAACATTTTAGACGCTAAAATTTACTTATTTTGATAAGAATTCATAATTGTTGATAATATGACCAATAAACATAACCTACCGATTTAAATTATTTTTTTAATATAAAAAACTAATTTTTGTGACTTTAATAATATAAAAGTTAGACATATGCTGTCGCTGACTTTTTTGTAGACATCATTAAGCTCTACAACTTTTCCCTAGAACATAATCATATATCTCTTATCGTTAAGGCAGCGTTTGAAAGAAACGTTTTCGTTCGACCGTTTTTTCTCCGACTTACTTTGCAAATCCGACTACCACGAAAAATCCTTTTCATTCTTTGGGTTAATATATAGCCTATGACACTCAGAAAGAACGTGGATTTTTATTGGTAAAAGAATTTTGAAAATCGGTTCAGTAGATCCAGAGATTACCCCCTACAACGTCACAAACTCACAAACTCAGAAGATCACAAACTTTACCTTTTTATAATATTAGTATAGATTACATTCAGAATTTAACAGAAGGCGTTCTGACAGAGATTTTTTTCCTGACAGAGGTCCCCTAACCGTTTATATAATATTTTAGAAAATGAACTTATGAATCTATTGTCACGGGTTTTACTTTTTACAGGATAAAGTTCAACCAGAAGGCAATGCTTCAAAAAGCCGAAGGAGACAAGGCTTCGTAGTATATAGTCTGTAAAAGTAATGAAACGATTTTTTGTATATAAAATTTCTCTCACTAATACAAATCTGCTCTATTTTTAAGTAAGCTAAGCTCTTGAGTGAAACCGTAATTAAAAACTAATATTAAATAAATAAGTGGTACTTACAATAATCTTTCTTCAAAAAGTGGTCTTGTTTCTTTAGCCAATCAATCAAATGATTAATACTTTCTTCCAATCTCTCCGGTTTGTCCAAATCATATTGTTTTCTAAGATACTGTAGAGTATCTACGTTAAATTTTAATACCGGGGTTTCGTGCAATACTTCCATAACCTAAAAAATTAAAATTAATAATTTGACGACACGTTTATCGCAGTTTGTAGTGACCCTACTTGCTGTTCCAGCGGTCGAGGGTTCGAGTTCTGCTGGGGGCATTTATTTGTATGATTAGTACGAATATTTATACTCCAGTCATGGGTGTTTATATTTATAATATTTAATCTATATATATATATATATATATATATATATATATATATATATATATATATATATATATGTAGTGTATCAACTGTGTAGTATTCATGACACAAGCCTCGTAGCTTACCATGGAATTAGGCAGTGCTGCGTATTAATTTCCCAACAACCACTCCGTTTGAGAGAACTAAGACAATTGCTAGTCCGATACGTTCGTATCTATAATATAATATATAGCACGAAACTGACTGGCTGAGTGTTTTCTTGACTTGAGTGTTTCCGTTGATCAATCAACGCATAGCTGAAACCGCTGGTTCTAGAAGCATGAAATTTTGCACAAGTGTTCCTTAAATGATGTCAATGTACACTAAGAATGGATTTTTGGAAATTCATCCCATAAGGAGTTAATATAGGGTCTGAATGTAGGTATGAAACATCGTCATTTTTGACGTTGGAAATATAAAAATCGATTTATGAGCACTGGGTTAGAGAAAAAAAATTACAGTACCGCTTTTTTATGAAAATTCATTCTTTAAGTGTTTAAAATAGGGAATGACGTTTGTATGAAACTTCTTCATTTTTGAATTAAGAATTGTAAACATTGGTAGATATTAAGATAAGCTCATGAATGGTTAGAAATAAAAGTGTACCTACTGTTTCACTTTTTTTGAACGCTTCAAATGACGGAGTTTCATATATACTTTCATACCCTATTGATGATGATGATGTTCTCCTAGCCGATTCCGGCTACGGCGGCCAATCTCATTGAGACTAGCCAACTGCGCAGGAGATATTATAGTGAACAAGTGTACGTGCAGACACAAGTGCACTCTCTATTCCTGTCACTCTCATACTCCGGTGGGACGACTGCTCGACACGACCAGTGAGAGTTAAGGCGCAGGACCGACGGCTTTACGTGCTCTCCGAGGCACGGGGGTGAAACACCGCCAACTTCCCAACTCCGGGCTGTTACTGAGACTTACTATACAGAAAGACTCAATAACTAAACTTGGCCCGACCCGGGACTCGAACCCAGGACCTCCGGGTGTGCAGCCGTACATGCTAGCCACTACACCACCGAGGCAGTTATATTATATTGCTCTAAAAAGAAGAATATATACTTTAATTTAAATCAAACCCAACAATTTATTACATTACACAATTTATATGATATAAAAGCTTGTCGCGAGATTTCGGAGTAATAAATTGGGACACAAAATTATTACAGTCTATCAATAAAAACTTAAAAAAAGAATAAAAACTGACTTCCAGGCACAAAATGTAAAAAATAACTAAACGGATGTTTTTATTTAGAATAGCTACCTGATCAGATATTTTCGAAGTTCGAATTCTATTCTAAATGAAAACCTCCTTTTAGTTATTTTTTACATTTTAGTGCCTGGAAGTCGGTTTTTTTAGGTTTTTATTTTTCCATTTTTAGTGTAGACGTAATAAGCAGGTAATTTGTAAGAAGAAAGTTTTTTATTTACATATTCGATTAAACAATTTATTTAAAAAATATATTTATTGTTAATTTTAAAAAAATATATATAAGTATTATAACCCTTTGAAACGCTAAAAAAATTTTTAACTCGGTTCAGGCGTCTTCGAGTGATTGGTAAGCATACATAAAAAAAAAGAAAAAAAAGATTTCGACGAATTGAGAACTTCCTCCTTTTTGGAAGTCGGTTAAAAAGGAACTTTCCTTGATCTTTTGTAGCGAAAGTCTACTTTTATGTTCTTAATGATTGGAGTAACATTTTATACAAGTTTTATTCTCAAATTATTGAAAACAAGTTTTTTTTTAAATGGAATGCAATGAAATGAACTAGTATTTATCCATAAAGTAAATATTCAATATGACAGTTATAAAGTAAAAATTTATTTATCAATATCAAGGAACTGAATCATAATAATATGTAATATTTTTTTTCAAAATAATGAATGACCTCTTCTTTCGATAATTCAAAATTTGTTAAATATCATTGAATAATTTTAAGTGTTAATTTAACATTAAATAATAAGAAAAACAAGACGTTAAATATAGATAATATTTAACTTCTTTGCTATGTTTTGATTAATTTTTTTTTATTATAATGTTGAATTTCAATTGAATTTATTTTATATTATAATTATGTATTTTTAATTACTTATAGTAAAATATATTTATACATTTTTTTGTTTCAGGGTGCACGTTCCATGACCACCTTTTTGTTTGTTCTTCTGCAGTTTGTTACGGATCTAATGAATAAATGATATAAAAGTAATAATATATACCTACTATAATTTTACATTTACCTGTTTTTGTACAAAAGAGCGAAGTTCAAAAACATTAGTTATAGTGCTGGGGCCTTACCATCACCTATTTTGAAACATTCTTACATTAAGACTGTTTTGTTTCAAGATTACAATAATCTTACTTTAATTAGTACTCTGACCTTTAACTTCGATCAACAGTAGTATTGATGATCGAAGAACTTTAAAAAGCAAGCTTGTTTTAAAATTGCTAAGTGATGCGACAGAACGAATGATTTGTCTATTCCCTCGGCCCTCCTATAAAAGAAAAGACACGCTATGTAAGTTGTATAACGTTATCCTTGTCACACCGATAGTCGTTCGTAATGGCCTAAGAGCCTGTGAACGTCAGACTTTCGTCATTTTATAAAAACTGAAAGTTTGTCAGCGCATGCTCCCAACACAGATAAGAACGATGGACCATTATAAAGTTCAGGCTATGGTGGCTTTGGCAGGTACATGGTACTAATGGTGTGTAAAGTACCGATCTAAATTAGTCAAATAATAAAGTGTGATTTTTTGGTATTACCTTTAGAATATTATTAAAAATCACGTCATTCAATGCCAGATACTTAACATCGTGGCAAACCCTTGCCAGACACCCTTTTCATGAAATCATAATTCTACTTACGTTATAGTATAAAAGCTGATTTTTATATATAATACTTGGGTAATAATTAGATGATTTATAAGACTGCTAGCATAGCATTTATACATCATCAAAAACAAAGTCAATTCTTAGAGCTTCAAATTTGGTGACCATTTGCAACATTTTCTAAGAAATGCCTCCCAACTTGTTTGAAACATTTTTCATGGTGTGTAAGTATTGTCTTTGAATTAACAGATTTATGGTGTAAAAATGAAAGGTTTAATTGCAGACACGTAATGATTTATTCAATATCATTTTACGGAGAGAGGAGGTCGGTAGAAGGAAAAATAATTTGCGGTAGAAAGTTAACAGAAAATCAACATTGCCTTCAAATATTAACAGGCGCTAAAATACCATTTAAATTGTAATATTAATATTACATATACTTATAATTCATTATAATATGGTTTTATAACGAAAGAAAGTAGAACTTTCAACAATCTTCGGGTTGCGGTAGAGGGCAGGTTTTGCTGAAAGCCCTTCAGATGATTCCATTTGAAGACTTGATATCTGCCACTCTAATTACATCATCAGTTCCTCGATGAACGTTCGTTATTCTACCAAATCTCCATTTGAGTGGTGGTAGATTATCATCTTTTACGAGAACGAAACTATTTAATTTTAATTGAGCTTCAGACTTTTGCCACTTGATTCTTGTTTGAATTTCAGAGATGTACTCTTTGCCCTACCGCTTCCAGAACTGTTGGCGCAATTGTTCTATTCTCTGGCAGCCTATGAACATTTTCATCCTCGTATTTGGGTGTCGGAAGGGCCGAAAGTGAGCACTCAATAAGAAAATGTCCCGGGGTCAATGATGTCAAATCCGCAGGGTCCGTGGATAGATAAGTCAGTGGTCGGGAGTTTAACACAGCTTCAATTTGTGCCAGTACTATATATAGCTCCTCATATGTAAGATTACATTTACCCAATACTCTTACTAAATGACATTTTGTGGATTTGACGACTTTTTGCCACAGATCTCCGAAATGAGATGAATATGCTGGATTAAACTGAATTTTTTTCCGTCATCAGTCACTCGGGCAACAGTCTCAGATAAAGTAACAGCGTTAGTTTTAAAAAAATTTGCAATATCATTAAGCGCGCCAACAAATTAGGTTCCATTGTCTGTATATATATTTTTTGGTTTCCCTCTACCCTCTGCCCTAGCTCGAGCATAACGAAGACATTTCCGGTAACATGATTTGGCCAAATTAAAAACAAAACGTAATAGGACTACTTCTTATCATCCTTGTGCCAATGGCATGATTGAATGAGTTCATAGACAGTTGAAAGCTGCATTAATGTATCATCAGGAATCTCGGTTGCGAACTTTTAAGAAGGACCTAAAAAGTACAGTAGCTGAAATGCTCTACGGTGAACCCTGTCGTTTGCCTGGGGAGATGCTCGCACCAGCAAGTCTTGAAAACTTTGAAGATCAGTCACATTTTCACTTCGTGACAAAATGTCTAAACTTCGCCCTATTCCTGCATCTAGACACGCGGATCCAAGATTTTTTGTTTTTAAAGACCTAAAGACAGCAAGTCATATTTTCTTAAGAGGCGACTCAATTCGACGACTTCTGCAACCACCATATACTGGACCATACCAGATTATAGACAGGGCTAGTGATGGTAAGACAATCACAATTGCCATCAAGAATAAAAAAGTCTTTATATGTTGTTTCGTTTCGCCCGTTTAAAAAGAAGAAAAAACAGTTAAGTTGATATAAGATATGTCATGTAAGACTATGAGGTTTTTCTCATTATTATATAATAACTGATGTAAATATTAACTAATGTAAATAATTCTATTGAAATTGGTTTTAATTTCTCCTATACTCCAAAAGTTTATTTAAAAAAAGTTAAATTTGATAGTTAAAAATAAAACAGAGACAGCTGTGCAATTTTCGCGATGAAAAGCTTCATCTTCATCTTCAATTACGGGATCTGGCTAATCAATTTCCTTCAAAATTAAATCCTCCGGCTAAAGCAATAACAAATATTTTTTTTAAATATTTCATGCACAGATTTCGCTATAGACCCCAAAACAATAGTTATTAAAAATTTTGTCTGTTTGTCTGTTGTGTGTGCGCGTTTCACGCAAAAGCAATGAATCGATTTTAACGAAATTTAATGAAATGATAACTTATTACTCGGTTCAACATTTAGGATACCTTTTACTTCAGGAAAATCTTTGTTTCCCCATGGGAAAACACAATAACTGGTTTTATCGAGTCCTTCTTAGAAACCCTCCACTGGTTAAACCTTAAGACATACATCAAAACTATGTTCTAAAAAATTGTAGGCCTTAAAAACTACAGAAAAATCCGTAATAGTCATCCGTATCTATGTCCTAAGGAACACTCGCAATAAGTATTTTTATTATATGTATATTATTATATTAAAGACAATGGTCGCGATTGTGATGACTGACTTATCAAAGTTCAGCCCAAGCCGATGATGATAGACCAGCACCAATAAAAGAGCCCGTTTTATATAAATATATAAAATAAATATGTTGGGATATTAACACACAGCTCCATCTAGTTCCATGCTTAGCTACGAGGCTTGTGTTATGGATATCTAATAGTTGATATACTAGACATATACACCTTTAAATACATATATATTATAACTATAAATATAAACACCCGTGACTGGAGCACAAATATTCGTGCTCAGCACACGAATGCCCCCAGCGGGACTCGAACCTGCGACCGCTGGCACAGCAAGTAGGGTCACTACGAACTGAGTCAAACGTATCGTCTCTCTCTCGTCTATATATCTATACTAAGATTAAATGCGAAAGTAACTCCGTCTGTCTGTCTATCTGTCTGTCCGTCACTTTTTCACGCTTAATCCGTTGAACCGATTTAGATGAAATTTGATATGGAAATATTTGGCGACCTTGGGAATGACATAAGATAGTTTTCATCCCGGAAAACATAAGATCATATATAAGAGGATGAAAAGGGGGGTGGAAGATTGAATGGAAAATCAATCATTTCTCAAGTACGGGGCTTATATTTTTTTTATTTTTTATAATTCTTTTTTATAAAAAATATATACTTTTCTATATCTACCTATTTATGTATATTGTATATGATGTTCTCCTAGCCGATTCCGGCTAAGGCGGCCAATCTCATTGAGATTAGCCAACTGCGCAGGAGATATTATAGTGCACAAGTGTACGCGCAGACACAAATGCACTCTCTATTCCTATCACTCTCATACTCCGGTGGGACGACCACTCGACACGACCGGTGAGAGTTAAGGTGCAGGACCGACGGCTTTACGTGCTCTCCGAGGCACGGGGGTGAAACACCGCCAACTTCCCAACTCCGGGCGGTTACTGAGACTTACTATATAGAAAGACTCAATAACTAAACTTGGTCCGACCCGGGACTCGATCCCAGGACCTCCGGATGTGCAGCCGTACATGCTAGCCACTACACCACCGAGGCAGTTAAATGTATATACATATATGTATAATGTCTATATTATAGGCTATTCGATACTTACTGTTAACCCTACCTGTTACAACTACCTTGTTAGAGCGAAGCAAGGGTAAATCTACATAAACATAAACTAACTTTAACAAATAAAGAACGATTTGCGCCGGTTAATGATCATACATTTTTTTACATACACAATATTCAGGGTTAAAGATAGAAATGCATGCAGTGTTTTTCATACTTTCCTAAGCCCTTTTGGTATAGCAAAATATACTGCGACTAAAATAAATACTACACGGCGTATGTGCTCTTAGTGAAGCTGGCCTCTTTAAATTATTTGAAAAAGATATTTTTTTCTAGTCAATGTATTAACTGTGACAATTTTACTTGCACATATTATGATCAAATTATTTATATTTTACAAAAAGCTTCTGAAATTAGTTTTTCCAATAATAATAAAAAATGTAAAAAAGTGGTAGGTTGGAACTACCATGTTAGTTAGAGAGGCCATAAAATAGCTAGATTTCTTAAATAAAACTATCTTTTCGGATTTTTTCGCGAATTTATTTTGATTTTTGGTTCCCGACGTTTCGAGTCCCTCCCGTGACCATGACTGCTGTAAAGTATTCGAAACGTCGGGAACCAAAAATCAAAATAAATTCGCGAAAAAATCCGAAAAGATAGTTTTATTTAAAGTGTCAAGTATTCGCACAAATCTAAGAAAGTATTATAGCTAGATTTCATTATTCGTGTTGGTTATTAAGTGGGAAACCAACTTCTGGTTCAATTTATAATGAAATGATAAATAGTCGTAAATTTTTTAGAAACAAGCTCAAATGGTGTCAAAGCAATAGCGATCGGTTTAAAATGAATAAAATAGCTACCAATAAACCAAATAAGGATTTACAAAAATTCTGGCAGGCAACAAATTTTCTCAAAATAGATCTCGGCTCCCACAACATGTTGATGGAATATATGAACCCAAACAAATCGCTGCCGTGTTTGCAAAAAAAAAAGTCGAGCTTATAGAGGAAATTCAGAATGAAAATGACTCCTTCTCTTTGGAACAGGAAAACATACAGTTTCTACGTAAGACGTAGCTAAAGTTATAAAATATATGAAGTGTGGAAAGTCTCCAGGACACGACGGATTGAGCACTTGTTTATGCAAGTGATGAAATAAAAAAATACGTTTAAAAAACCGACTTCAAAACCTAAAAAGTATAAAATAACCTCTTATACAAACCTTTAATATTAATAAAATACTATTATTTATATTATGTGCTATCTATATATACCTAGTAGGTACCTACACTCGCCGCGATCTGAGCGATCTATACTAAAGGCACCCACTTTAAACCTATCAATAGGTATGTATGTATGTATGTATTCAGCCCTTTGTAACGTCCCACTGTTGGGCACGGGCCTCCCTTCTATACGAGGAGGATCAGGCCATAGTCCTCCACGCTGGCCAAGTGTGGCTTGGCAGACTTCACATGTCTTTCGAAAACTTGTTAGGTTCTCTCAGACATACAGGTTTCCTCACGATGTTTTCCTTCACCTTAAGCAAAAGTGGTAATGATATTGGAAATGATTTGCACATGAAAATATCAGAGGTGCGAGACCCGGGATTTGAACTCGCTTCACTCGGTTTCCTAACTAAACGTGCTACCACTGGGCTACCACTGTCATTCAATCATCAATAGGTAGCATATACAAATAATAGTATTTTATTAATATTAAAGGTATTAGGTTTGCATAAGAGGTGTATTAAATTAAAACTTTATTATTTTATATATTTTATTTTTTGAAGTCGGTTTTTTAAACGTAGTTTTTTTTATTTTTACTTTTAAGTACTACAGACACTAGATTGTTCTGTAAACAACAGTAGGTAATGTAACGATTGGTTATAATATTTCTCAGTTTCTCTACTCCGCACGCTCGCTCCGCTTCAATAACAGGAAGCCTAATACCCACTTATCGGGATACGGGTTAATAATAATATATAATCAACCTAAATTAAAACTCCTAAGAAATCCGTACACAAACTAAAATAAAATTACATCGTCCACGTAAACAAAAATGTTCATAAAATGAAAACTACAGGGCCAAACTGTGTTAAATTTTTATGGGACCAAATGGCAATTATTCCGCATCAAATGCAAACATTTGTTTCAAGCAAGAATCACGTAAATCGGATCATTTATGATTTAGAAGGGATTTATCTCAACGTAATCGGTGTACCTGTACATACATTAAAAAAAACCAATCGAATTGAGAACCTCCTCCTTGTTGAAGTCGGTTAAATAGTGTTATTTTAATTTTTTAATTTATGTATCAAGTTTAACTATTTTCCTAAAAGTATTATGAGAACTGTAGTTGTGCCTCTTCCAAAGGATAAAACTGGTGATCTAACTAAACTAAGTAATTATAGGCCTATTTCACTAGCTCGTATAATTGGTAAAATATTAGACAGACTATTACATCCGCATATTGCGGAGAATGTAACATTAAATGATGCTCAGCTTGGTTTTTTCCCAGTATTTCAACAAAATCATCAATCTTTAGTCTTAAAAATACAATAAAATATTACACAAGTAGGGATCTTTTTGGATTTTTTCGCGGATTTATTTAGATTTTTAGTTCCCGACGTTTAGAATGCTTTACAGCAATCATGGTCATGAGTGAGACTCTCTCTTTCTCGTCACTACCATTGCTATAAATCGCAAAAATCCGAAAAGATAGTTTTATTTAAAATATTAATTAATAGGGTAAGGAACACAGGAACAACGGTCGTAAAAGAAATGTTAATTAATTATCTTATAAAATACTTTATTATGTATACTACTTTATCTCACTTCTAATACTTTACTTTATTGTATATATTATTTATTCTTTTTTGTTAATTATCTCACTGAGCTACAATGTTATTTTTGCAAATTTGAATATTAATGATGACAAAGTTTTTTTTTAACTCAAATAACTTTAAGTGCAAATATTATAAGTCGCCCACATATGAAGATAAATTGTTTTCGATATGCTAAATAAACTGTAAAGAGTGTTTTCCTCGTTATAATAATTAAAATTTTTGTAACTAATCAAAGAAGATCCATAGATCAACAAGTGCTTTTTAAGTTTTATTAATCTACAGTTAATTTTCTAAACGAGCCCGGCATGCCCAAACATTGATCGTTGAATTTTTCTTCACTTCTAAATGATTCATCTGTGCGGGCCTCTTTCATTTCATTAAAGTAATCATTAAATTCTTCAGAACTTAACTCGTTTTTAAGATTCTCTGCAAAAAATATAATTATGTTATTATATTTGCGGCTACTTCGTGCATATAGCTGTCATAGATTTTTGTCGGATTGTTTACCTACCTACGTTATTGATTCAACTGATAAATTAATAATTTTCAAAAAAATATATTTAATAAGTACCTAATTTTTGACAAAAAAGTGACACCGACTTTAAAAACAATTTGAATGTAATAAATTCACCGTAATAAGTTTAAGGATTTAGATAAAATGTCATCATCATTTTTTTTTGTTAGAAATTAAAGTTTATCTTTATGTTCATTTTAAGTACAATTATTTGAAGCAACTTCTGTTTATAATTTACATCCAAAGGGTTAAGCCAAAATCTTGCATAAATACATACTAAACATCTTATAAATAATATTAATTTCCATGATCAACAAGGTCAAGATAACAATTATTTTTTTATTGTCCATATTATACATGTTGGATATGTAATAATAAAAATTAACTTAAGATAGCCAAAGTCCATATTAAACTAAGTAAAAACACGATCTTTAAGCATCAAATGTTAACACCAAATGTTAACAACACATTTTTTTATAAAAAAATATATTTTTATAAATAAAGTAATAAGTGTTTATTGCAATAATATTGATTTTAGTTGAAGCAAAATTTTATACGTTTATGCATACTTACTATTAAGTTCGTTTATAGATTTCTCTTTCCCACCGTATTCTAATGGCAAATCATCTTTCGGAATTATATTGTATAATTGTTCCATATCTTTGAAGACTTGTATTCGTTGGGATATCTTTGAACTTACAGCTTGCTTTACAATTGAAATCAATACGTCAATTGCTTTTGAAGGTGTTACAAAATATAAGCCTTTCAATCTCATCCCATATCCCTCCTGAAAATAGTCTTTATTTTCATTATTACAATAATGAATTATTACAATATTTCATAAAAAATGTTTTACTTAGTGATAAGATGAGCGAAATTCTTGTTTCTGAAATTAGCCAAGATAAGCCAATAAACGTTTGCTATATCGAACGGAAACATCTATACTAATATTATAAAGAGGTAAAGTTTGTGATCATGTGAGTTAGTGAGTTTGTGAGTTTGTGACGTTGTAGGGGGTTATCTCTGGATCTACTGAACCGATTTTCAAAATTCTTTTACCAATAGAAAGCCACGTTCTTTCTGAGTGTCATAAGATATATATTAACTCGAAGAATGAAAACGCTTTTTCGTGGTAGTCCGATTTGCAAAGTAAGTCAGAGAAAAAACGGTCGAACGAAAACGTTTCTTTCGAACGCTGCCTTAACGATGAGAGATATATGATTATGTTCTAGAGAAAAGTTGTAGAGCTTAATAATGCCTACAAAAAAGTCAACGACAGCATATGTCTAACTTTTATATTTAAGTCACAAAAAGTAGTTTTTTATATTAAAAAAATAATTAAAATCGGTAGGTCATGTTTATTAGTCATATTATCAACAATTATGAATTCTTATCAAAATAAGTAAATTTATCGTCTAAAACGTTTAAAACAAAAGACTTCTTCCTTTTACTGCATATAATTTGGACAAATGGTTAAAGAGATAATACAACATATTCGTAGGTATGGACGAACCCGAGCGAGCTGTTTGTCTGTTTTCCTGTTTGTACGGGCTAATCTCCGAATCTATTGGACCGATTTAAATGAAATTTTGCATTTTGGTACCTTACATCCCCGGGCAACATCTTTTCATCCCGGAAAATTAAAGACTTCCCGTGGGATAGTTAAAAAACTATAACAATTTATACAGCTTAGTGCACAAAAACTACTGATTGGATTTTGATGAAACTTTACAATAATATGGTTCATACATCAGAATAACAAATAGGTTAGTTTTTATCCCAAGAAAAATGTACTGTTTCCGTGGGATAGATGTTTTTGTTTATTTGTAACTTATTATGTACATAACATAGACCCCAAAACAATAGTTATTAAAAAAATGTCTGTTTGTCTGTTTGCCTGTATGTCTGTTTTTGCGTGAGCGTTTCACGCGAAAAGTAATGTACCGATTTCAATGAAATTTGGTGAAGTGATAACTTATTACACGAGTCAACATTTAGGATACCTTTTGTATGTATGTATGTATGTATTTATTTATTCAGCCCTTCTTAACGTCCCACTGCTGGAAAAGCGGGCCTCCCTTCAGTACGAGGGGAATCAGGCCATAGTCCACCACGCTGGCCAAGTGCAGGTTGGCGGACTTCACATGTCTTTTGAAAACTTGCTAGGTTCTCTCAGACAAGCAAGTTTCACGATGTTTTACTTCACCTTTAAGACAAGTGGTAATCGTGTTAGAAATGTTTCGCACATGAAAATATCAGAGGTGCAAGACCCGGGATTTGAACTTGCTTCACTCGCTTTCCCAAGCGAGCGATTTACCACTGGGATACCACTACCTAAATGCCTTTTACTTCAAGAAAATATTTCTTTCCCACGAGAAAATACAATAACTGGTTTTATCGATTCCTCCCTAGAAGCCTTCCGCTGACTAAGCCTCAAGACATACATACATCAAAACAATGGACTAAAAAATTGTATGTCTTGAAAAGTCCTACAGAAAAGTTCTGAATTGTATATGTCTATCTCCTAAGTTACACTCGCAATATTTATTCTTATCTATACGTATAATAAAATTTAGTCAAATCGATGTGCGCGTTTCACGCAAAAAGTACTCAACCGATTTTAACTAAATTTTGTATAGTGATAACTTAGTACTCGGGTCAACATTTAAGATACCTTTTACGACAGACAAATTATTCATCCCACGGGAAAACACA